GGCGCCTGCCGGCGAGTCCCACCGGGTGGTGTGCGGGCCGGGAGCCGAGCCTCGGTCCGGCGCTGTCCTGCCGTGGAGTCGTTCCCTGGAAACGGTGATGGAAAAGTGGTCTAGATATGGATAAGCTACCGAACGACCCAAGTTGTGGAAATCTCGATTTATTCTTCCCATTCCTCTGGCCACAGGCTTTGACACGACTTCATGAAGGGCCCCATCAACCCCCAGCCCACAAACGTGTGCTGCAAAAGACCACAGGGAGCTACACTGCCATCCAGGCCATTAGTCGTGCAAAATTTATTTGAGGCAATAAAGCGTGAGATTTGCTGGGCTTTCAGAGAGTTCTCCACATGATGCTGTGTTAGCATAGGTGTGATTTAAAGATTAGAATGTGATCATTTCTTATGCTGTTTCCTCAGTGTTAGGAGCTTATATTTTCAAATTTCCCTATTGGCATCCCATGATAATGTGAAATTTAACAGCCTCAAGTTGTGTGAATTAAGAGATGGCGGAAGGCCTGCTAGGCCTTGCATGAATTAGTCAGATGACTGATGCTCCTTATCCACAGGGACGCCCCTTAGTGGCTTATTAAACCATTAAGGCTCTGATTTTTCGAAGAAGTGGCGGATCTTTCTGAATCAGCAGAAGCTGAGGTGTTGCTTTGCTGAGCAGCAACATGTAATGTGCCAGTTGTCTAAGGAAAGAAGTGGGTAGATAATTGCAGCATAAAAGTGATGTTCCTTCTCACCAGTTATAACTGTAGCTAAAGCATGCTATCATTTCTCAGGGGTGTGGGTACCTGCTGAATATAAGAATTCCTACTCTGAGGGGGCTTGTAATGCTTCATTTCTCTAATGCATTAGTTTCTTCCCCCAAAATCTTGATAATATTCCACAGGAGCATTTCCACTTATACTGATATGGAGTTGAGTAATTTGGTCTCAACCAATTCTGGCTGCTGTACACAGCTCTGGGATTCTGTAGACTTCACTGCTGTGCTGAGACCCTTATGTGTATAAGCATATGAGGAAGAGCCTTTAAAATATTATTAGTTGACGTCCAGTCTCAGTTGAAGTTATTAGCAGCGGTGGATTAATGTATAATATTTTCAAGATCAGCATTTGATCCTTTGTACTGTTTGTATTTACTGCTGGGACATTTTACAAAAGTGGTTCTCTGTGTGTGGAATTACTCTGTAATGGTCTTGCTTGTGAATGATGTGATTCCAATTCTCTGTTAACTTAATATGCTTTAAGAGTTAGGTAAGAAAGGATAAGGTACAGTAATGCTGAGAACTGTCTATGTGACGATCTTTTCAGAACTAGCAGTAGTACTTTATTTGTTTTCTCAGTACCTGGATCTGAATGAACTTCCAAGTATGGAATAGCCCTCAGTGAAATTCAAATGTCAATTAAGCTTTCTATGAAGCTGGTCTTTTTTCTGCTGCTTGCACTCTAACGTAGGCATGTTTGTATATGATTGGTGTATTTGAGTTTGCAGTACTGCCAGGAGGTGTTATGTAAGAAGTTACTTTTTTTGGTGTCTCATTTTAAAGTTGTATCTTAACAGTAGATTCACTAAAACCGTGCTTTCTTTACAGATTGAATGTAGAGTCTAAACTTCTTCCTGATGTCCCTGTGCATCACTTCTTTTTCACCTATAATTCTTCTGATGGAAGACCAGCTGGGGCTCCCTTTCTGCTGTTTGTGCTGAATATTGCATGGAGAGGTGGTGAATGAGTGAAGATACGTTTGGTGATGGTAAGACGCATTTCAAGGCTAACAGCTTTTCTGTAATCTTCTGTGAATGCTCAGACACTGTACTGATGGGCTCTGAGCCAAAGAGTAGACACTTAAAACTGCTAGGCTAGTTGCCAGAATGCATGTAGGCAGTTTCTCCCTCTCCTAGCTAGTCATTTTGTTTTAATCAGCACATAAGCCCTACTGAAAGGCAGCTGATTTGGTTCCATTAGAATACAGTGTGAGGAAGAAGACCTGTGTTTGCTGTAGTCTGGAATAGGGGGCATAAAGTCTACTTCCTCATTGCAGGTAGAAGCACTTCCACATGGAAAAACAGAAGTGCTGCTTGGTACCTGAAGATGGCAAAAGAAAGCAAAACTGGGCATTCAGATATCGAGTCAGGACGTTAGAAAACGTCAAAACCCGCCTTGATTTCCCGGGGCTTGGAGCATGGGTGTATTGTTAGCTAAAAGCTGTTCCAGTTAAATGCCTTCCTTTTTGCAGGGAATGCAATACTGTTAAAATGCATCTTAAAACCAGCATGTCTCTGTCTCCCTCTTCCTTGCCTCCAGCATTATAAATGGGAGAGAGCTCTGCTAGCTGGAATCTCAGGCAGGAGCTAATTTACACTCTCCATTTCAAAGCCTGATACTGCTTGTGCTCTGTGCTAAGCTGTTCCATTCTTGTACTAGACTAGTTAAAGGCTTCTGCGTTCTCTGGACCGTGCAGCAGCTTAGCGTAGTCTGATAGCAAATGAAGCTCGGCCAGGCTTCTCAGCTGTCTGTAACCGGATTTGGAAGTGTTCTCCTTTGCGTTTTAGAACCATCACCATCATCTGCCTGTAATGTCTTGTGCTATGAGTTAGAACAAAGGATAGTTAGGAACTGAACTGGGCTGAAGTACTGCTTAAGGTGTTGGAGGATATATTCCATGTCCAGTCCTAATTGGTATTTTAATTACAGTTTTGGAGGTTGAAGAAGTCAAACTGAATCACATTGATAGCTGGTACAGAGAGGAGGTTTCACAAATACCGTGATGGACAAGAATAGTCTGCATTATGGTTGATGTAAATGAGTGAAGTATTCCAAAAATAAGCCAAAGGAGAGCCAACAGAGTGAAGCAAGTATGTATGTGGATATAGGAGAATAATATGAGATATTGCACTGTAGGAGTAACTGGCCAGGCAATTACAGTAGCAATATGATTGGACAGAACAGATACTTGCTGACTGTGGTGATTTATTGTTTCTGTTTTGTTTTGTTTTTTGAAGGTTCAAGTGTGGGAATTGCCCTGGCTGTGGTTGCTGCTGATGTTGCCTTGGGAAAATGCCTTGATAGGGAATTAACACCATTCAGTGATGGGCTGTGGGACAAGCAAAGTGCTTCCCGAGCCCCCCAAAGATGTGCAGCTAGATCTTGTTAAAAAAGTAGAACCTTACACAGGCCACAATGACATATACAAGCATTTCATCAAGGGTGACTGTGGGGCTGTCATCAAAGCTGGCTCTCCCTCCCCTCCACGTGATACTAACCCATATCCTGGTAACCACCTGCCTACCCATGTGGACCAGCCTGAGCCCCGCAAGAACAAGGTGGCTAAGTACCGTGCTAAATTTGACCCCAGAGTGACAGCAAAGTATGATATTAAAGCCCTAATTGGAAGAGGAAGTTTTAGCCGAGTTGTGCGTGTGGAACACAAGGCTACCAAGCAGCCCTATGCGATCAAGATGATAGAGACCAAATACCGGGAAGGGAGAGAAGTGTGCGAATCAGAGCTTAGTGTGCTGCGGAGGGTCCGGCACACCAATATCATACAGCTTATTGAAGTGTTTGAGACCCAGGATCGCGTATACATGGTGATGGAATTGGCTACTGGAGGGGAACTGTTTGATCGAATCATTGCTAAAGGCTCCTTCACTGAGAGAGATGCTACACGTGTGCTGCAGATGGTATTGGATGGTGTAAAATACTTGCATACGCTGGGTATCACGCACCGGGACTTAAAACCAGAGAATCTGCTGTATTACCATCCTGGAACAGATTCAAAAATCATGATTACAGACTTTGGACTGGCAAGTGCTCGGAAGAAGGGAGACGACTGCCTGATGAAAACTACTTGTGGGACCCCAGAGTACATAGCTCCTGAGATCCTAGTCAGGAAGCCCTACACTAATTCTGTGGACATGTGGGCACTGGGTGTGATCTCGTACATCCTCCTCAGCGGCACTATGCCCTTTGAAGATGACAACCGCACCCGTTTATATCGGCAGATCCTGAAAGGAAAATACAGTTACTCAGGGGAGGTGAGTGTGGCTGGGGTTAAAGTAAGGGGAAATCAGACAAGAAGCTCTCCATACATGGGCCTGTGTGATGACCAGAAGCTGGCTGTTATGTGCAGGGTGGTAACGTAAGTGTTAAAGATTCTGGCCTCTAAAATCCTAACCTGTGTTCTCTCTCATTTACAAAACTGCAGAATAATTAAATCCTTTTAAAAATGTATGTCTGAAGAGAGAAGAGATTACTTCCTGTAGAATAGAACAGGAGGGACTAACAGACCTTGGGATGCTGGTGGGTTTCCCATTTTGGAAACCTGAGCTGCGTTATGCTACTGTTTGATGCTTTGCTTTTGAAAGTCATGTCAGAGCGAGTGTTTGAAATGTAGTGTGCACATACCTAATTTGATTTTAGATACAAATCCAAGTGTAGTCTGAAAAATATCTTTGCTGAAAGAGACGTTTATGGCACACAAAGCCATTTATGGCTTTTTAGGTCCTGAGACAGCTTTTTTGAACTTGATCTGCATTGTCTCTTGAACTTAGTTTGTGCCAAAAATGAGGAGAGAATGGTAATTCTCTTAGATAACTATGAGAAAGGGAACGTTAGGGGATGGTTTTGGGGCAGAAGATGGGTGCCTCCGCACCCCCTGGAGTCCCTTAACTCCACAGGAGTGGACATGTGGCTGGGTGCCAGGTTCCTGGTCACGTTAGGAAATCTGGATTACAAGCCAGCTCTTCTAGCACTGTTGCTAAGTACGGGCGTAACCTCAGTTTGAGAATCACACTTATCGAAAGAGGGGCTATCCAAATTTGCAAGTTGGGTTTCTGCCTATGTCCCTTACTGGAAATATTCAAAAATTAAGATTTTATAACTATTATCATAATGAGGGAGGAAAGTGTGTAGTTTCTTTAACATCATGACTTTGTGAGATGAAACTCACTGGGAAAGTGTGAATGTGTGACTAAGTTTGTGATGCAGAGGATTCTGAAATGACCATAGTTGTCAGAAAAACAGAACACGCTCCTGATTGTTCTGGTATTTTTAAGTGTGAGAGGTATGTTGGCATTTCAGTGATGGATGCGGGAGTCTAACGTGTTTAATTTTTAAACATATTAAGGTGTTTTAGGATTATAGTCACAAAAAAGTCACTCTCTGAAGGGTTTTCAAAGACGTCAGTAAGCCTTTTATCCTTTCAAGTTGCTGGGCCAACTTGGGTTAATAGTTGGAATTTCCAAATTAAATGAAGTTGTGGAATATTGGCATTTGCATTGGAGGCCAACAGGGAGAGCCCAGATTTGACAAGTTTGTGAAAGCTCTTTTTTCTTCCTGTGAGTGCTCCTGGTACATAGAAGTCTCCTGGTGCATAGAAGAAACACAAATGTGAGGGATCATAAAAACCAAACATTAACACTTTTTGGACATAATGTGTTATTTCCTTTAGAAATAGCAACGCTTGATTAGTTTCTTGCCAAAAGTATTCTATCAACTGCTTCCTTGAACTCCAAGTTTCAGCTAATTTTGGCAGCCTTTCTTTCGTTTATTAACTTGCCATACTAATATGAATTGTTAACCAGTTGCAGAATTTTAAGAAAGCAATCAAATTATCCTAATGCAGAAATAGATTAAAGATCAACCACATCTAAGATCCATAGGGTCACACTGAAGTGTAGTTTCCTAGTTTACCTTATAACTAGCAGTAGTAGATTAGATTAGAAAGCATGTTAGAAATGAGCCAATGCAGTGATTTTTCTCATGTAAAAAGGTCAGTTCATTCCAAAGTTTGTTGCCTAGCAGAACTCATTCGAGTGCATGCGTCTTCTTGTAGTTTCTTGTTCAAGCAGTAGGTAGGTCTGTTTTTGCTCAGCCTTGATCTTAGCCTCCACATTTTAGACTGTTCTAGATTGCTTGTCCAAACTCAGTTTTGGTCCTTTTTAGCTCACTCTCCTGTGTTAGTCTTGGCTATTCATTTTTTCTTCTTCAAATCCTTTTATTTTGAAGATTTTTTTGTTTTCAATTTGAAAGTTATCCCTTTCTTTTTTGTCACTTGTTATTTCTACCTTTTTGCAGATGTTTTGACTAAGTTAATTAGCATGATATCCGGGACAGATTCTTTCCTTTATTGTGAAATGTGGTAACCAGTGTCCTAGAAGCAAGTTGTAGGATACAGACTTGACACCTAACAAATTATCCTGATGATGCTGAGCTATTGAGGTTAAAAATAAAACTGTCTGAGATGCGATACAAGAAGAGGTGAGAGACCACATGACAAATTGACTGATGTGGACAAGTATGTGTGGACAAATATGAAGTGGTGCCTGTGGGAGAAAAGCCCTCCGCGTTTTCCATAAATGATGGTGGACCGTGAAATACTACTTGATCTTCAGAAGAGACAATTTGAGGTTAAAAATATTTCTAAACATCGGGTTGATACGAGTGATGAAAAGCCTATTGATATTAGGAATTAGTTTTGTTATTTCAGGAGTCCTTGCTCCGCCATGTCCATCATGTATCTGCACCTTGGATATTGAGTGTAGTTTTGGATCCTCCTGAGAATAATACAGAACTGAAAAACATGAAGAAGGGCAACATGAATAATGAAAGGTATGGACTGTCTTCCATGTGAAGAACAAGAGGAAGACTAGGGAACTTCATCCAAACAATAAAGGTTTGGAGGAGGGAATATGGTGGAGCTCAACACTGTCATAAGCAGAATAGGGAAAATGAATGGAGAACAACTGTTTTGAGCATTTTCTGCAGTAAATTAATTTGATGCTCTCTAGTCCTCTTGTCAGAGCTGAATTACTTTGAAAAATTTTATGAATTAATTGTGAGTAGGGCTACTGGATTCCTCTAGGTTCCATAAACCAAAATAGTGCTTGTGCTACAGAGAAGGCATTGGACTATATGTATTTTGACAGTGCCAGTACCCAAGCCTGAAGCATTTTACTTGTTATCCCACTAAAAATGACATATTTTAGGAGGCTCTTCTCAATACTATTTGTGATATGAGTGGTGGTTTTGGAAAGCTGTAAATTTTTTACTCTTCGGAGTGAAGTATGTGTCAGCCAACAGCCTTTATCTTTTGCCTATCTGCTTTCTATTCTTCTAGAGCCAGTAAAAATGGATGCTTTAATTTACCAGTTTAACTAAGCATATGTCCCTAAACTGCAGGAGTGTTTGTAGCCACATATTGGCAGAGATGCAGTGGCAGACTGCCCAGTTTGTGAATAAATTCTAGGTGGAAGCCAGGGATTCAGAGGTGCCTGGCATACTTCCCACAGTTTGCCAGCTTTCTTTAAGTATTCTGGACTTTAAATTCTTCCAAATTTCTGATGTTTACAGAAAATTTCTGCTCTTTCTGGTGTTACACTGGAAGAGGTGGGAAGGTGTCAGAAGTAAACCTGTTGATAATTTTTTCAGACTAGCAGGGAAATGGCAGGAGATGTAGTTGATGGTTCGTTTGGATTAAGACTGGGCAATACACTTGACTCTTGCAATAACTGTCTATCTTGGATGGATACAGAAGCATGGATTTCATGGGAACAATTGGTTTGCTTTTCTACAATGTGAACTTTGAGGATGTGAAATGGAAGAGGAAATGTTAAACCTGCAAAGTAGCGTGCTTGAGCTGTATTGGTCAGAAAAGTTTCAATAGCTGAGGAACTTACAGGAGAAGAGGGAGCCACATTCCTAACTATTGCTGTACCATGTCACACAGCAGCTGAGGCATGAGTTTGCAGAGAATCAGAGTTGAGTCCCACTTTTTGAGAGATGACCGCCCTCAAATCATGGTCAGAGAGGACAAAGCTGCATTGAGAGAGGAATAAAAGCCGAAATGCATGCTGACCTGAGAAGCAGTTCCATTTTCTTGAAAAACAAGTGAGCTCACGTCCAGCTAAAGCTAAATTGCTTTCTGACAGAGATCTACTTACCAGTGCTCTCCTATTCCTGGAGTGTGAGGTCTGTTTGAATAGGCTATTAGCAGATCAATAGATAGGGTCTCCCATAATAGCTCATTCGGATACTGCTGACATCATTGCTCTGATTATCTCTTGTATCTTCTTCTGTCCTTTTTGAACTGCTTGGAGTAATGGGTAGTGTGAGGAAGGAAGAAAAGCTAGCTTGGTAACAAGAGCATCTCTGAGTCAAGAATATGTGGCCTATTAAGACTATGTTGTTGTCTGCTACAAAATCAGTCTCTTCTACTTGTTTTATTAGAGCTCACTAAAAAGAAAAATTGGCAATATAGTAATTGAAATCTTGAGGATATAAACTGATTTTTGGGGATCTCTATGTAGCTTACAAAGTTGCCTGATGCACAAAGCTGGAATTCCATTCATAGTTACTATTGAATTTGAAACTGGAGGAATGAATGTCAGGTCATCGTTATCCTGCTGAGAAAGGTTTGTTTTGATTCAAAGCTTGTCCTTTTCTTGAATGCCGACTTTATGTTGCTTTAATACACCTGGGAAAGTTGCTGGATGAGGCAGGATCTAATATATATTATGGATAAACAGGGAAACTGAATTAGGGTGTGTTGCTGGTTCTGGTTTTGGTAATCACCATTTGATCTTGGCAAATCATTTCACCTTTTCCTGTTTCCCGTTCACAAAACAAAATCAACTTTTTGCAGTGTGTTGACTGTGGGTGAGTTTGGTGGGTGCCAGCATAGGAACCTCTCTTAATGGAGAAGTCACTGAAGGATGTGTTTTAAATTGAAGCAACTCTAGAAGATGGAGAAAACCAGCAAAAGCCATTAACAAGTTGTCTGAATCAGACAGCACTGATTCAAGGGTTCTAGAAATTCAAGGATGAAATAGGTGAATTACTGACAATGGTACATAGCCTCTCATTCAAAAGCACAGTGGTATTAGCATTAGTAAGTAGGGTAATGCTGGTTTTAAACAGAGTTCCAGAGGTTGTCTAAGGAATTTAAGTTGAATGAGCTTGACATCTCCCCTGGAAAAAATAGCTTAAAAACAAAAAAAGCTGATTCTAAATAATGACACTAGTGGATACTTTTATC